ACCTTCCAACATCACACCTAGCTATAAACCAATCAGTAGACTGATCCAGTTTCACACACCTATGAGTCAGTTACCTCACCAATGCCCATGAAGCTTGGGGAGGAGGTCTAGATATAAGCCATAACAACCCTCAAACCATAGAGACATATAGGTCTGCATCCTAAGCCTGTGTCTCCTGCTTCACAACAGATCAACCAAGACCCTTAATGCTATGATGCCCAACAAGAGGTGACAATCAGGCCTAAATCAGAGTCTGCTGGGCTCCCAACAGACAGGCTGAGAGTGCCTTTCAGTAGCCCCTCAGAAGATGGGTGGCAGAGCAGGTAAATGTAGGAAAGAGACATCATCACACTCAGAGAACCAAAACCAAGGCCTGGGAAGTGAACAGGGTGAGGTTTCCTGCGTGGGAGTCAGATTGCAGCTGGAAGTAAGGCCAGTTTGGGGGTAGGCACTGTTACAGAGAGATGCTTTCCATTTCAAGACAAGGAAGTACAGCTGAGTAAATGACACACCACATCAGGTCCTTCCTTATTCTAAAGGGAGTATGTCTCCCATCTCCTGCCATTTGAAGGGGCTCAGGAAGTTTCCCATCTCTCAAATGCCAGCCCATGATCAAAAGGAAGCACCAGTCCAACCACTGCATTTCCAGACGCCAGCCCCGGGGGACTGAAAGCATTAACATGCACCATTTCTATCTGTGTATGGTAATGCAAGCCTGTAATCCCAGCTATTCAAAAGGCTGAGGCAGGAAGATCTCAAAGTTCAAACCTAAGCTGGACAGCTTAGCAAGATCCTATCTCAAAATAAACTATTTTTAAAAGGGCAAGGGTTATAGCTCAGTGGTATACCACTTGCCTACCAAGTGTAAAGCTCCCTGGGTTCAGTCTGCAGTACCACAAAGAGACAGTTGCAATCCAACATGGAGTCGAGAACCATGCTTCGCCAGTAACACAGGGTAAAGTATGTACATAGCTTAATGGCAGGAAGTACTTTCTCCTCATAGCCCTTAGCCAGCATCTACCCTACTCCGAACTCTGGAAGGCAGCAATCAGTGGGACATGGGCCAGAGCTACTGCAGTAACCTGGGAAAGACCACAGAAGCCACACTATAGGGCACAGGAGAAATGCCAAGGAGAAGGCTGATTCAAGGAACTAACTCTGGTTTCCGCCTTCATAGACAGCAGACACTCCATTACACAGATGGAGAGCAGGAAGACTCAGGTATTTTGCACATCACATGGGCAAAAGAGGGCGCTGTGACACCCAGGTGAGGGTGCTTGAGACTGGCCTTGTCTCTGCTGCTCAGGGAGGAGCTATAACCTGGAGAATACACCACACCTATCCTTTAAAGCAGGGATTCCCCAACCCCTGGGCCAGTTATGAGCTGGGTAAGTAGAAAAACTGTCTTCCATGAAACCAGTCCCTGGTATCAAAAATTGGGGACCGCTGCTCTAAAGGCTGACTTCTTGGACATATGGACCCCACTGTAGAATTCATCCTCAGAATTCAGGGTTCAAGGACCTTGGTATAGAAAGTACACTATACCTTTGTTTAAAACAGCAAAACACCAAAGAAGAAAAGCACTCAGCAATGGGCTTTAAAAGTACAGGACTGTCGTGCAATAGCACATAAACACATCCAAGATGACAGGGAGCGGCCCATCTGTGAAGATAGGCACCACTGCTAAGCCCACAGGACAAGACCACTCATGTGACAAGGCCACAGGGCAGTTTCTTAGGGACTACACAACACCACAGAGAAAGAAGCATGGTGGCCCTTGGTTCAGAGGCAGGACTTCTGAAAGTTAAGGTGGTCATGGGGGGTATTAAGCTCATCAGTGAATCCTGAACCATGGATTGAACCATTTCCCTCACAACACCCTTCCACCGTGCCATTTCTGCCTTGGAGCCAGCAGACTATGGACTGAATCCTCTAGAAGTGTGAGCCAACAGAAACCTCCTTTAAAGTGTGGTGTTAGGCACTATGTCCCAGTGATGGACAGTAATTACAAGTTACCTCATTTACAGAAAATTATGAAGCACCCACCAGCCACTCCCACAGGATACACTAGCACTTGCCTTTCACCCAGGGCAGCTGCATGGATTCACAGAGGAATCCCAGGTCCTGAAAGGTGGGCAGTGGTCTGTACCACCCATGCGCCTGCACTACCCAAGGCATAGGCAGCTCTCTGAAAGAGACTTCATTCAAAACTGACCCAAAAGAAAAAGACTGATTTAGTCTAATCTTTCAACCACAAACTGAGCTGCAGAGCAGGACGTGGAGAGGGTCCCCCTTCCTTGTGGCACTTGTGTTGGACACTGGGATTGCTGTACAGGTCAAAGCAGGTAAATGCAGAAAACGCCTCACTGTTTAAGGGGAGAAAGACACCGACAAGGCTCTTTTCCACTGATCGCTCATTCTCTTTCATAGTCAGAGTAAAATGAAGAGGATCACCCAGCAAAACGTTAAAGCTTTAATTCCAAATCACTTTTCATGCCCGTTTCATCTGACAGTGGCTTTGAAAGCAAAAGGCAATCTTTATCATTTGAGCTTTATAAAGTAAATTGATGTGATTATGTCCAACATAACCAGCTGCTTCTAAAATCCAATTTTCAAAGTGACATCAGCCCCCAAAATAAGAAACCCTTCCTTCTGGCTATTAATAAATTATTAAAATGCTATCTCTATGGAAGGATGAGCCTGCAGCTTGATAATCAACAGCAAACAGGCTGACTCCAGAAGCTCCTCACAGACCAGGCCATCCAGCCATGTCACTGCACATAGCCTCTCCCTGTGGCCCTGCTCACCTCAGGAGGCCAAACCATACAGCAGTCCCCATCGCAGGTGACTCAAGCATGAATCAGACTACCTGAAGCTTATCACACAATCCCACACTCTCTGTCAATAACTGCTCTGGGGCAGGCAAGCACACGGCCCTGTTTTAGGGAGGACCTTGTGGGGAGAGGGGAGGGAGTGTCCTAGAAAATATTTCTTTGTTTCAGATAGGAGGCTTCTCCATTCTGCCTGTGTACATGACATCCAAGCCTGGGCAGCACCATGAAGGCATGAGAGAAACCAGTCTGAGCAGTCAGCTGAGGGGCAAGACAACAAGAGGCCAGGTACCTAAAGAGAGTACAAACTTGTGTCTGTGTTCCTAGTAGAACCTTTAGAGTCTCCTGTGTGACAGAAGTACCTTTTGTCATCCATTATGAGCTCCTTTAGAGCATACCTAGTTTGTGCTAACAAGGTAGCCTAGAACTGGCCCCTGCAGAGCTCAGGATGGGGACTGGTAAGATCAGAGTCCACAGAGGGTAGGAACTCTCAGCCTCATTTCCTGGTCTAGGGGCTGAAGACTGGGTTATGAAAACTCTTGAACAAGATTTAAGAGCATGAGGCTGGTAAGATAGCTCAGTAGACTATGCTTAGGCAAGCTTAGGCAAGCTCAGGGCCCACGGTTCAATCCCTGGCATCACACGCTGTGCCAGCCCTGCCCCCAGGGTGGGCTGAGCCAACCAGAGTCCAGGTGTAGTGGTGTATGCCTATAATCCCTATGTTGGAGAGGCTGAAAGCAAGAGGATCAACACAAGTTTAAGCTGCATAGTGAGGCGCTGCAACAACCAAATACATTAAAAAAAAAAAATGATTCAAGAGCTTCGGGGGTGGAGATCACATGGAAGGCTGACAGGGGTCCACCTGGACACCCTCACTGCTGGTTGTCCTGTGCACCCTCCCATCCAGCTCCTCCTGAGTTAGAGTAAATCAGGAACCATACATCACCTGCCTAAGTCAGGATATCATCAAATCTGACAAGGGGTACATGGAATGCCCTGAATTTGGAGTTGGACTAAAGTCTGAGTATCCTGAGGATCTAATACTTGTCGCTGGCATCCAAGAGGGAGTGGATTTGTGGGACCAAGCCCTGGCACCTGCTCATTCCAGAGAGTGTCAGAATTAAATCCAACAGAATCCTTAGAAATGCAGAAGGTGTCAGAGCTGGAGAAGACAAGTTGGAAAAGATCCTACACATGCAGTGTCAGGAAGAAACCCTAACATCACACCCTGGAGAAGCCCTGCAGCTGCCCCTCTCAGAGAGGGAGGGGACACACTATTCAAGACAGCTGGTGAGATGCCTGTTACACATATCAAGGGCAACAGGAGGCTAAAAACTCTCTGTGGGCTTTCCATAAGGACATAGATAGATAGATAGATAGATAGATAGATAGATAGATAGATAGATAGACAGACAGACAGACAGACAGACAGACAGACAGACAGACAGACAGACAGACAGATAGATATCTGAGCTGCTATACTTGATGAAGTCCACAGGCTGCTGCAAAGACAGAAACACTCCAGATCCTGACGAGAACATTAGCCAGGAAGCCAATCACCAAGGACCCAGAGATGATTCAGCAGTGTCACAATTTCCACAGTGCCTAAGCTGAGTCTTACCACAACACAGCAGGAACACTGGGGAATGTCGCTTTCCAACCACCAGCTCCTACCATCTCGACCAAGGCAAACTCCATGGCTATTCCAAAGGGCATGGTTTGCACATGCTTGAGTGAGTCCCAAGAACTCCTCCACACACAGGCCTGGGAAGCAGGGCTTAGTGGAGAGTTCACAGGCCATACAGGATACTGTCCCAGAAGAGACAGGCAACTGTCAGGCCCTTTGGCTGGCATTTGTGAGAGCTGCTGGAAAGAGCTATGGAAGGAGGATACTCAGTCCCTCCCTCTTCCTAGGTCACAACAAGTTCTGCCACCTGCCGTAAGGCTCTCACAAGAGCTAAGTTCATCTTGGCACCATGCCTTTGAATCTCCAGAACCATAAGATAAAAAAAAAAAAAAAATACCTCTTTTCTTTAAAAAGTACTCAGCCTCAGATACTTTGCTATAGCAGTGAAAAGTAAATACTTTGTGTAATCCAGGAAGGTACCAGTCTGCCCCATCCTAACAACCCAGAGCAAGTGTGTGCCCGTAGGCACCCAGCCAGCCTACCTGCTGGTAATGACACTGTTCTTCTCCTTCAGGGCCAGCTCTCGCTGTTGCAGTTCAACAATGAATCTAGAAAGGTCTTCTGGGGTCCTAAGGAATAAAGAAGACATGCTCAGTTCCAGCTGTGTCAGAAGTGAACTTAACCCTGCACACACTATAGAGAGCCAGCACCCACACTCGCCTGATGACTAGGACAGAAGGGTCCATTTTGTGAGAACTTGCCACAGCCTGAGTCAGACCGCAGTCTGCCACCAGGCACATAACATGAGCTATTTGCTTTCAGAAGCCTTCACTTTATCCCACTAGTGAAAACAAGGATGACACACAACACACAGTGTTACTGTGCCAAGCAAATGATGTATACAAAACACCACCAAGGGCCCAGCACCATGAGCACACTTGGCGAGACTTAGCTTCTGTCCTCACTTCCCCAGCAGCATGTGCAGCTACACAGGGCAGAGCAGGAACACAATTCCCCACATACATGCCGCTTCCTAACATTGAAAACTACTCCACCAGCACTAAGCAGCTCTGTTCTCCACTGGTTCCATCCTTCAGTGAGGAACCTGAAACTGACAGGCACTGCACAGCTGTGTAAAGTCCAACCCATGCATGGACAGAGCAAGACCCAACGCAAGCCACATCTTGTCACCAGCACTGCAGCAGAGCATACCTCCAGGTTTTCTCGAGACTTCCCAGTGGACATTTCCAGACACAAGCGTGGGTGCAGGGCCTGAGGACGCACTGGCTTTCCTCACCACCCATCAGCACTGGAGCACAGGAATACACAGAAGAGAGGGGTGGGGCCATGTGTGTCAGCAGCTCACAGCTGCTACACATTCCTGGAACAGGTGACACAGACTCCTGAAGGCTGTGCTTCCAGCTGCTCCCTGCAAGCAGGCTGGCACAATGAGCTGCCAGGAACGCGTTGCTGGCCCCCACACCCCATTTGCTCTTGCACTCTTACTTTAGTGTGCAAGACACTATTCTAGAGGGAATATCAACTCTTGGATTTATCCCAAATCTCTCTCAGAGGGTACCTTCATGTCAGAGGTGAGATTAGTGGTGATGATTGGTGCCTTTATGTGTATCATAGGCACTTATTTTTAAAGTATATGGTTGTTCAGGGTCTCACTATGCAGTTTGGACTCATGGTGATCCACTTGTTTTCAGCTGCCCCAGTGCTGGGATTACAAGCATATGCCACCATACCCAGACTCTGTGGCCAGCTCAGCCTGCCCTGGGGATGGGGCTGGGACAGCATGTGGTGCCAGGGATCGAACCATGGCCCTAGGCTTGCCTAAGGTTGCCTAAGCAGGCACTTTAGTCCACTGAGCTATCTCGCCAACCCATGCTCACTTCTTTTAATGGCAATTCACATATTACATGTATAAAGCAGAAAGAAAATTAAGGAAAAAATATAAAAAGACAGTAAATTATCAGAGTGAATAATGCTGCCCATAACAAACAAGGAGCAGGGAGCTTGGTGAGGACAGGCACCCACCACACATGCTCGGGCACTGGTTGCAGGGCAAAGGACACATACAAAGGAGGAGCCCAAAGTCCAGCAGCCTGGCTCAATCCTGTAGGGAGAAGTGCGGAGCTCTAGTTCCCATTGCCCATCCTGCACTACGCATGGAAAGGAGAGCCCTCAAGAGCTGTGGGATCAGAGCAGATTAACGTGCAGCCACAGCCTCCTCCACATCTCCAACCAGAGACCAGAGGGCCACATCTTTCAAACGGCAGGAGAAGTGTTTGTTTTCCGGAAGCCTCCTGACCTGTGTGTGGCTAAAGCTACTCAGAGATGCTTACCCAGAGCACTCCAGGGATTAGCTAAGTGCTTGTAACTAGAAGGAGTCATGCCAAGTGCCATCACGGCCTAAAAATAACACCGACAGTCCATTCTGAAACTCACATTTCACTACTACAAAGTGAGAGGCATTCGGGGCCTTGGGAGCCTCCAACACAGAAATGACAGGAAAGTGACAGTTCCAACTGCAGCCCAAGCTGTGACAGCTGCTGTGGAAAACTCTGGCTTCAGCTGCAAAGGCTTTCACATTCTAACTGGGGGCTTTCAGGGAAAAAGGCTTTTTGTTCCATTTGCAGCTGAATTTTGACTCAAACTCAGCTGTGTGCAGAATAGTAGCGGGTTGTGGGGATCAAGCCCACCGATTTATTTCTGAGGCAAAGGCAGCTCCAGCCCAGCCACAGCTATTTTGAGGTTCTAATAGCAGATGCCATGGCTCTTGTCAACCCTAAGTGCCAGTTTCAAGAAGGCTGAAAGACACCAGATCTAGGGGATACTACTGTCTAAAATGAATGAGACGGTGACAGCCATAAAGCAGTTAACAAAGAGAAGCCTGGCACTCTCTTCCAGGGTGCTATTTGTTCCACAGAACAGGACTTCCAGGGCCTCCAACCCCAGTCCAATTCTTGTGGGGGCTGATATTCGGGCAGTCTGACTGGAAAGGGGATACAATCCAGAAAGATGGGCTTTTTAACTTTGCTGAAAGTATACTGAGACAGGAAGAGAAAACACAGGACAGAAAGGAGAGTGTCAGGCTCTCATAGGACACATCACAGGGCAGTCCAGACACTTCTGGTGCCAGCATACAGGTGTGTTGGGAGGGTGACACAGCCTGTGTACAGTGCCCAGGACAGGGAAGAAGTGGCTGCTGCCTTCCTGGAGAGAAGGGACTAAGTCCACATTGCACATAAACCTTACCTTTCAACCCCTGGCAGGGCTCCCTTGGAAGGCCAAGCCTGCTGTCCCCAACCCTGAGGCTACCAGGAGAAATGTCAGATTTTCCATGACCACCAGGCTTTGCAGGACTTGTGAGGGGCATAAAGCCATCTCACCATCAGGGCTCTGGCTGCTCTGGGACTTCCTGGCCACAGAGTAGGTAACGCAAGTATTAGTCTTTTGTTGCTTTTTGTTGTTATGACCAAAACCCCAACATGTACAACTTAAAGGAAGAGAGATTTATTTTGGCTCACAGTTTCAGAGGCTTCAATCCAGCTGGCTACAAGTATGAGGCAGAAAAACTGCTCACCTCAGGGCTGCCATGAAGCAGAGAAAAAAGGAAAGAGCCAGAGAAGGAGCAAGGGACCAAATATAGTTCCCTATGTCACACTCCCACAACATGCTTTATGAATCCCTTAGGCATCTCTCAAGCCAATCAAGTGGTGAATGCAGACTAACCATGACAACGCAGCTCACACATCTTCCAAGAAGCTGCCCATTTCCCTAATGCACAGACACGAGGTCATTCTTTGCCCAGGGAGCAGACACAGACTGCCTCTGGCACACAACCTGCCATACTTCTCCGAGGCCACACACGTCAGCGGCCCCACAGCAGCACATCACCAACAGGTCCCCACTAAGAGCCACTCTGTTTATAGTCAGTGATCATCACACAGACAGCCTCACAAGGACAGGATGAGAAGGCAGATGCTCAGGGCTGGGGAGATAGCTCAGCAGTCTGGGCATCTGCCTGGCAAGCACAAGGACCTAGGTTTGATCCCCAGCACCATATGCCATGCCAGCCCCTGGGCATGCGGAGTCAGCCACTGAAACTGGGTATGGTGGTACATGCCTGTAATCCCAGCACAGGGGAGGCTGAGATACGAGGATCACTATGATTCCAAGCTGCACAGGGAGACCTTGTACCAAATAAATAAATAAACAGTTTTTAAAAAAAAATTTTAAAAAAGCAAGATACTTTTCCAATTCACTACCTTGTAAAAGCCCTTGAGCACAGCCACATTCCTCCCACAGGTCCACTGTGTATCTTTTCCAGAATGCCCCCCCACATCTACTGGGGCTCCCCGCCTCACCCCTTTTAGGCTATGCTGTTTCAGGTGGACCTGCCCTGATTTCCTATTCAAATAGTACCCTCCTGCCGCCAGCCCTCACCCCTCAGCGCCTCTCCCGCACTCCTCCCCTTCACAGCATAGACTCTCACTCCTACAGACTACGTGCCACCCATTAACGTGGGCACTATCTTTCTCCATAATCACAATGAAAGCTCTATAAAGACTGCATACATTTTATATTTTATTCTGCTTTTCCCCCAGCACAATCATAGGCTTCAAAAAATGTAAGTCAAAAGAAGGAATAACCACGTTACCTCTCTAGAACACTATAAGCCAGCTGGGTCTGAGCTCAGTCCACTGAGTCACAAATTCTGTGTTCCTGGTGGCCTAAATTATAGTCCATTCATACAATGGAACCTGAACAAAATCAATGGAAAAAAAACATAGAATCTTTTTATATATTAATATTAGGGCTCCAAAAATGCATGCTAAATAAAAATACAAGAAGCAGAACAAGGGTATACTATGCCATTTGTATAAAAGAAAAACTGTACACCAGTACTGGCTTATATATGCATTAAAGACACCTAAAGGATAAGAAAGAAGTAACAATGGCTTCGGGGGGGGGGGGAGCAGCAGACGAACAGGCTTGGAGGATTTAGCTCTCTGGATACCTTTACAATTGTTAATTACTCTGTGCCAAAGAAATACAATAGCTCTTTAATAAAAACAATTTCTTAAAGATTGGCACTGTAACCCTACACTGGCAGTCAGGTACTATAGAAAAATTTAATAAAAAGAAAAATTATTCCCATGACAAATTAATGCACAAAATCTAGCTATAACATTTATAACAAAAAAGTCAAACCATTCCTAAATGATGTTCAGCTATGTATAACACAAATAATTTGCCTTGCAAATGTGGCAATAAACACTGGTGAAAGGATTCCTGTCTGAAATGAACAAGACTGCCAAATGATGATGATGCCAAAAGCTGGTTCAGAGGGGAGTCACACGATATGCGCCTCTCAAACTTTTCAACAAAAAAACAATAAAACTACATAATTATCTCTCAAACTGCAAACTTCTTCTTTAAACATAAGTCTACTAACTGGATTTAAGTTTAAAGGAGCTTCACTTTGTACTTTTTGCATAAATCACATGTACAACACATAATATGTGATTTTTACCTTTGTTTCCTTAAAGAGGACACCTCCAACCATCCTATACTTTACAACCTTCCTCTTAATACAGTCAATTTGCCTCATTTAACA